TTCTCTAAGGAAGGGTTTAGGCATCTTAGAGAATCCGCTAACACACGATTGACTAACGGATTTAAAAGTTTGGCTAATTTTATAAAATAAAAGAATTACTTGTAAAAAATCTTGTTTGAAACTTAGATAAAAAAATATTTTGATGCTTGTAAAATCTCAAAAATAATCCTAACTTGAAACTTTTATCCATAGTCAAGCTTCGAACCATACAATTAATTCAAACTCACCAACATGGATCAAGGGACCTTGTTTAACAACTATGAAAGGATATAGAAAATCCTTAAGTCATTCATACAAAGTCTTAAGTTATTTTAAAAGAGAACTAATTTAGTTTAAGAAAACATAACAACTCCATCCTAGTCAAAATTTGAACTAAATAGTTAATTCAAACTCATAAACATGGATTCAAAGCTTTTCAATAACTATGAAAGAACATGAAAGGTTCTTAAGTTATTCTATAAGCTTAGATTACCCAACTTAAAAGAGGTTTTGAAAATTTGATTACTTAAAAATAAATGAGTAATGAAATACAACAGTCATTAAAAGCCTCCCAAGGATTCATCCAAGTTATTAAGAGGGTTAAAAATCACAATAACACAATCAACGGGGAAACAAAGAAAAGTTGCACTGAACAATATGAAAAATTAGGCTTTTAAGCCTAAATCGCTTCTTCCTGCTGCCACGATCAAATTGAACTCCAAAGTCCAAAAAAAAATTCCATTCTCTGTCCTTTTGTGACAGCTGTTGTTCAAATTGAATTTTCAAAGTCCAAAATCCCATTGTTTTAGTCTTTTGGGACTACTGCTGAAACCTGTATAAATTGGACATTCTATAGTACAAAATTCCCAATTTTAGTCTCTTGGGGACTGCTGCTACTGCTGACTTCTTGGGTGTTTAACCCAATAAAAACTATATTCCCTTTCACGACTTGATGAAGGTTGACTCGAATAGAGAAGGATACAAGAGATAGGGAGTCCATTGGACTCATTCGGAGAGAGTATTCATGCACCAAGAAAAAGAGAAAGATTAACAACATTATTAAAATGATATTAACTCAAGCTTAAAACAATCAATCAACATCTAAGAAGTCTGGCTATGCAAACAATATCATGTAAGCTCAAAATCTCTAAGTGACATGCTTATAACTGCTGAAATTATACTAATCAATTAACTATAATTATCTATCAATGAAAATAAAATAAAGATAGAGATTTTCCAGATATTAGTTTAGACTTGATATCCCACAAATATGAACTAAAGAAAAGAACTACATCAAATAAGTATGGACTCATTGCTTAAGGAAACAAGCTAATGCCGACAGTAATTTAATTTAAAACACGACACAAATGACCATATTTAAACACAATCAATGAGGAAAATCTACCAAAAGCAGTAACACGAGGGCTAAATTTAAACAGAATCCTATCAGGAGTTATCGAACTAGAATTGTAACAAAGAATATCTAAGAGTATTCAAGGATAGCACTTGGAAGATTTATGGCATTTTGAGAATAGATTAACAACAAACTGGTAAAGAAAAAAATCGATATCTTTGCACATACGAATAGTAAATGAACAGGGGAACACATTGTAATATAGAAACTGTTTGAACGTCATACCGTTTCATAAACAATTCGCAATTAGTATAAGCAAAACAACAACGACAATATGCAGCCACAGCTTAAAATAAAGCAGCAACTAAACAGAGGCTTCTTAGCCCATTTTTCTATCAAGTAACCTCTTACTAAATACCGTTTTTGCTCAAACCAAAAAGGAATTTGAAATAGATTCAATCAAATGTCACGCAAAGCCAAAACCCAACACTACTCACAGAGGTGTACGAAATTCAATCTCTTTTAGATTTAACATTTAAACATCTGGTAGGACTATGAATGAATAAGGCAGCATAACACAAAAATCACATAAGTCTAATTGACATGTATTAACATAATTATGCCTAAGGTAGTGGAAATAACAGATCATAGCAAAGTACTTTAGGCTAACATGCTGAGTTTATTTAAATTGACAAGAAAATTATCCAAAAACAAGTGAAGCACAAGCTATATCATTTTAGAAAATGAGCAAATCAAGAAATGATCACGATTAGTAAAGCAACACATGACATATGAGCTCTCAAATAACAACAAATTTAAATGAATAACCAACAAATAAGATGAATTCCAAACCGAGCCAATGCACGCAATTTAGGATCTATAGCTCAAAGGAGTGACATGAGGATCTAAGGAATTTAGGAGCAACCAAAAAGAAGTTGAATTAAAACTCAACTTCATCTAGAGTTCAACTAATCCTAGGATCAAATCATGGCTCCTGAAAGAATAAGAACCTTAATAGGACAAACAGTGGCAACAATGGCAATAAACACTTGATGACACACAACAAACTCTTACAAATAAAGATGGTGAAACTCATAGTAAAGCAAGGCAATCAAACTAAGCTTACCAAAACCTTTAAACTTCTCAAATCAATAACATAATAAAAGCCAAATCTATAAACCTAACAAAAGACTAATGAACAACTATATACCAAACCCAACAGAATAGCAAGATAACATATTTTGATATAAAAGCTAAAGTAACTTCCAAGAGAATAACAACATACATAATCAAAGACCAGGGAATCTAGCTTGAAACAACTGAACTAATCCACATGGAATAGTGTGAACACCATATTGAGATGAGGGAACCAAGTCTTCATGTGACTGACCAGAAGCGTAACTTTAAAAAAATGCTCATTAAACACGTAAAGGAATAACAAAACATTGCCAAAATACTCGTAAAATCACGACCAACTTAGGCATTCAGCAGAAAAAGGATTCATCAACATATAGAAATCAGGAAACATAACTAACCTTAAATCGGCTCTAACACATAGACTAAAGTTAAACTAAATAGAAAAGGAAAGGAAAGAGTTAACTGGTTATGGGCAGCGACTGGAACTCGAATCTGAACATGACGAACTTCACCACCACTCCGACTCAAAATAGCTACGAATCAACAGAATTTCAGTGACGAAAATAAGAACTCCCAAAAACTTAGTGGGGTGCTCTTTTCTCCGCCTTAAAAAAAACTCCCTTTGAACAGTGAATGGGGTGGGTTTATATAGAGAAACTTTTGGGAGGAATTTGGAGATGGAAATCGATGTGGGAGCACTCACAATTCAAAATTCTTAACGAATAAGGTCGGGGACCTGGAATTTTTCTCAACGGAATTGAAAGGAGAGTCATCGATTTGAGGAGCAAGGACAATCGAAGCAACACATTTTCGACACCTATACCATTCGAATACATTGCTCATACGAGAGGATAAGGAGAGAGACTAGGTTTCACACTTGGATTCTACCCATTGAGGAAGAAGAGAACGTAGGGGTCGGGTAGGTGTTGTTCGCTGGATATTTTGGTCAGTGCTCTGTATTGTATTGTTGCTGGATTTGTATGGGTCTTTTAGGATTGAAAGTGGGTTGGGTATTGTTTAAGAGTTGGGCTGGAGGAAATGGAAAAAAGAATGGAGTGGGCTGAAATGATTTAAGGAAAAAGTCACAAAATGATCTTGCAATTGAATTTAAAGGGATGTAAAATAGTGGCTAGATTCGCAATAGAATAATAACCGAATGAATTTCAATTGTAGCTAAAATAAACTTAATCGGTGAATTCAGTCAAAAGTTAAATATGATGAACTTATACAAATTAACCAATGAACTTCTTAATCTTAACGAGATAAAATAATAAACTTGATTATAAAATAATAAATTTAATTACAAACAAATTAATTCAAAATTATAACTATAATTGAAACCAAACTAAATTAGTGGAATATTTAAAAAACTAAAATCTTTTTGAGATGGTTTTCGAATATTCATAAACTATACTAATTATACACAAAGCTATATAAAACATATGCATTATTTTAAAATTATAAAAATGATAAAATTAGTTAAAAATAACTTCAAAAATATTTTGAACTTTATAAAAATTAATTATTTCAAATCGCTTGGAATTTAGGAAGCTCGGTGATCAATACATATTGTGGAGGGCCAAAATTGGGTGTCAACAACGCCTTTTCTCACACTTGACAGCTTTACATTGCCATTTTTGTGACCTCGATGTTCCTGCTTCCAAAGAAAAATTCTTAGTTTGAAAGACTGATTTATGTTGGTCTTGTCTCCATGCTTCTTCATGCAGTTGACTTCCACACTCGTTTGTTCTCCGAAATGTAGTCTTGGTGGAATTTTTGAGGACCTCCCTCAAAAATTATGTCACATTCTAAAATATAGAAGAACTTTTGTAACTTGCTTTTTTAACCATGAGGTTTCTCATTCTGGAATTTTGAGGTCCCTCCTCAAAATTTCCTCAAAATTCTTTCCCAGTTTGCCTCAATAGTAATAAGTATAGTATTTTAACAAATGTCATTTTTGTGGAATTTTTGAGATCATCTCAAAAAATTTGTCCCAGTTGAAAACATGATTTTCTAGAAAACTTCATCTTAATTTTTTGAGATCCACTCAAAACTAACCTAGTTGCATTTTGATCTTCCGTCTTTCCTTGTTGAAGAAGTCCATCTTCAAATGAATTTTTGAGATCCTCTCAAAAATTCTATCCAGTTTCCATTATAAAGAGAAATGAAAATCTTACGGGGAAAATGACCGAGCCATTGTGGCGGCTACATAACCTGTTGAGGCAGGAATCAGGTCAAACGTAATTCCCCACACTCAAGGATTAACAAAAATAAGAAATTTTGATAAGGAAACGATTGAGGCCGACATAGACCGCCTACGTATCTCAGTCTTGCGAATTCAGGTCAAACGTAGTTCATTACAACTAATGTGCGATAAAATGGGAAGAAAGAGATAAAATATGCATTTTCAGAAGAAAGATAACAATAACTTCATATGCAGAATTTTGGCCAATGCTAGACATACTTCTTTTCGACCTTTGATGACGAATATCTTCAAATGACTCAGTTCAAAAATGTCTTGTACTCGCTCTTAATCATAAAATATGTTATCCCTTGAGGTGGTTTCCTCAATATTGATCAAATTATTGTTGATCATGTTTTGAATATTCTGCTTGAGGGTTGAACAATTTTCTGTGTTGTGTCCAACAACCCCTGAATGATAAGCACATCTGTGGTTAACCTTGTAAAATTTCCCCAAAGGATTGGTTGGTCTTCCTTTTATAGGATGGAGCATACCCATTGTGTTTAACGTTTCGTAAAATTGAGTTTGAGATTCCCTTAGTGGTGTAAATACCTTAGGAGCCTTCCTAAAGTTTGGACGAGCGAATTTTTTCTGATTGACATTGCGATTTTGATATTTCCTTTGTGGAGCTGACCACATTTGGGTAGCAGTGACCACAAATACCGCTTCTTCTTTTCCTTTTGACATATCCATATCACTAATTCTGATAGCTTTGTCATTAGCACGCAAGGCAATAAGGTTTGTGATCTTTCCAATCTTGAAACTGTGTTCCAAACCTTCTCCCACCTTGACGATCTCGACAAATTTTTGTCCCATCATACACAACATTCTTTCATAATACTCAGGCTCTTGAGTTTGAATAAATATTTCAGTGATCTCACGTTCAGACATGGGAGCTTGAACTCTTGCAGCCTCTTTTCTCCAACGAAGAGCATACTCTCGATAATTTTCTGTAGACCTCTGTTTGATTTTTTCTAAATAATAGCGATCAGGAGCAATTTCTACGTTATGTCCAAATCTTTCAGTAAAATCCCTTGCAAGTTCATTCCAACTCATCCATTGTTTTAATTCTTGTGATGTAAGCCACTCCAGAGCTTCTCTATTTAGACTTCGACTGAAGAGATGCATCAACAATGCTTCATTTTTGCCAACCCCCACGAGTTGATCACAATAAACTTTCAGATGTGTTAGAGGATTTCCAGTTCCATTAAAAGTGATGAATTTTGGCACTTTGAACCCTTTCGGAAGGTCCAAATCTGGATGAATACATAATTTTTTGTAGTTCAGCCCCACCTCTTCTGAAGAGTAATCAAGTTCTTTTATCACTTTCGCAATCTCTTCCTTCATAGTCTGCTTAGTCTTTTCCTCTTTGGCCCTCCACTCCCTCTCCTTCTCTTCAAAGTGGTCAAGTTCAGAATAGGCAGTATAGTGAAGGTGTGGTTCGGTTTGGACTGGGATATCAAAAGTGAATTTTGGAGGTAAGGGTTGAGCGTTTGGTGGATTTTGAGTGCCTTTTGCAGGTGTCTGGTACATGAAATTGGATGTTTGAGGATTGTTGACATTTAAGCTTTGAAATGGAGGGAATATTTGAGAGTTATTTGCGTTTTGGTTTTGAAGGGGAGGGAAAACTTGAGGGTTGGTATTTACGTTTTGAAAAGGAGGCGGTGTTTGGTATGAAATGTTGGAGTGATGAAGATTTAAGGTAGTTAAGTCGATAGTTGATGGATTTTGAGCAGGGTTGGAGGGTTGGTTATTCAAGACATGTTCCGAGTTTGAATTCAGAGGAGGAAAATGGAGTGCAGGCCTTCCATCTCCTGGAGTGTTGATGGCGACAACCAGAATTGGCGAATCTTGGTTTTTCTGGAGCTCAACCCTCAACTCACCAATCTATTGCATCAACTGTGCAATTAACTCATTTTGTTCGACGGTAGGGGATTGAACTATAGCAACTTCAGTCACGCCAGTATTCTCACTATTCTGGGTCATTTTTCTTTTTCCTTTCAACAAATTTGATTGGGGAAGGAATCTTTGAGAACTTTGAATGTTCAACCAATTTCTCAACACAAATTAGTTTTGAATACCTGACAAAGAAAAATAACTCAAAAGACAAATGTGTTAATTTTTGTAGGTAATAGGTAATACAAGATATCACACACAACGTATTAATCACACAAGAGTCGCTTCATTTGAAGATAAACTAGGCCACAGATATAGGACATGCTTAAATAGACAAAAATTTGTCTATTTGATTTTGGAATTAGTGAATAATAGGAAGGTTGACTTGGGTGGAGCCAAGGTTCTTTTGATACTTCTGATTTTCGGTTGAGATGAAATTTCAATCTCCTTGTAAGAGTTGGAAAAGATAAAAAAAAATTAAAAAAGGGACCAACCCTTGAAAGGTTGCCTACGTATCTCACGAGGGAGAATTCAGGTCCTACGTAGTTCGACCTTCCTTTTTCTCTTGAGGCGAAGAAAAACGACCCTTTATTAGATGAGAGAGTGAGGACTTAGGGGTTTCTAGAAAATTTGCAAAAAAGAGTAGGCTAGAAAATCTCCAAATAAAGCAACATAATCACACAAACAGTTATAACACAAACAGTTATAACACAAACAGTTATTGTGTGTTCTAAACAGATATGTGACCCTTTTATGCCAAGGGTTGGCCTAGCGAATTGAAGGATGTATAACGTCATTTGAAACATTCCATTGCCCCAAAAACCCAAATTTATACAAACTCGTGTATAAAATTGAACGTGGATACATAATAGGGAAAAAAGGATACAAATAACCAGTCCCACACAGGGGTACAATCCTAAACTATACTCCCATGGCAGGTTCTTCGATCTCGAACTTCTTTCCATCTCCGAATGTCGACGTCAGTGGATGGACTAGTAGCTTGTAAATCTCTTTTTTCGACTAGAATAAATTATAATCTATTCATTACCGCAAGGGACAATGGTTCTTTCAAAGAGGTATACAACCTTCAAATTTAATCACGTAAGTATGGTCGTCCTTTTAGGCCATGAGCCGTTTTGGACTCAAGGTACTCTCTCTAATGGACCCAACACGCCTTGGGTGTTGGGTCATCTTAGGCCAATGCGCTAAATTTTGGGATTGGATTTCGTTGTACACAAGTTTGACTAAGAATGGGCTTTATTTATAGTGGATTGGTGACCCAAGTGGACTACCTGGGCTGGGACAGTTAACGACTGTTGACTAACCAATAGCCAATTACATTCGTTAGGGTGCCTCGAGAACAATATGGTTAACGAACGACTGCGGCCTCCATAATCGTCCCTTAAGTGAAAAATAAAAGAAGTGTCGTTTGACGAAATATGTTATGCCATGAATGCAACAATTTAATTTTGCAGAAATTTAAACAAATAAGCAAGTAAACAAACAAACATTAGCCAAACAAATTAACTTTAAGGTTAGAATCCAATTCAATTCTCCAACAGAGTTGTCATTCTGTTTTATTTTTAAAAAAAAACGACGGGTTTTTTAAGAGTCGTCACTTAATTTTTAAAGTAAAATTAAGAAAACAATTTTTTCAAAAGATTGAAAATAAAAGAAAATCTAATGAAAATATTAATGAGGGTTCGAGATTCATATTAGTATTTCGGAAAGGGTTTGAAAGCACCCGAGATGCCCGCTAACATATGGTTATCCGACAATTAACTATTTGGCTAAATAACTTAAAAAGATAAGCATGAATGACCAGTTTAGAAAATAGATAAACTTTAAAACTAACAATCATTTTTAAGGGAGGAGGAGTAATATTAAGCATATTACTAAATGATTAATTTCAAAGTAATTCAAGGAATAAAATAAGTATAATTATTTAGTCTTAAGAAAATCTCGAAATGACTCTTTTGGGGAAATCAAATTAGAAAAACCTTAAAATTGACTAGCAAATAAACAATTAAACAAATACGAAACAAATAAAACGAAGAGAGAGAGAGAGAGTGTTTTGGGCCCAAGTCTGGTTTTCTGTCCATCTGGGACAGTACTTGGGATTAATTTAATTTTGGGCTTTAGGCCCAATTTCACCTATCCTAAAATCTACATCTAACATGATAGTAACACTCTAAATAAAAGGGCTTAGACCCAATAATAACAAAATACAAAGCTGAAAATTTAGGGCTCTTTTAGCCCATTTTCAATGCAATATACAGTGTAAACGACTGATGTATACCGCGGTATATTGTGCGTATCCAGCACTTTGTTGCGCTCCGAACACCTGTACGTCAATGTCAAGGACCTGTTCTTCGATCTTTCAAGGCTGGTTGACTCGATAAAGGTGGAATTTGAGCCTCTATGGATCGTCTCGAAGATGCAAGAGAATAGGAGTCCGCCACGAACTTGAAAGAGGTTCATAGGACAAAAGAAAGAAACAAAATTAGCATATGAATCGAATAAAACAAATGAGATAAAAATCAATTGAAGTAACAACAACTTGAGTATTTCAAAATCCAAAATGAGACCCAAACCACCATCAGATCACAAGAGAAGATGACTCAAAATAAAAACGCAATGAACTACTCTATATCAGCTCGCAAACAACTAGCACTCAATAGTAATAAGAAATAAGAAAACGAACATCTAAGGCCTATACAAATAACAATGCAAATAGTGACTCCAACCACAAGCTAATGTCAAATTACAAGTAACAAACAGGAGCAACAAGATTATAACCTCAAATTGAACTTAAAATAATAACATGCACAACTATCCCAAGCTAAACCCAAATTCCAAAAACCCCAAAGCTACTGACAAGAACACATAATAGACTCAAGAGGAAATTAGAGTATATAAAGGATTACCAAACCATTCACAACAAATAATCTAAGAAAAGAGAAGACAAGGCTCTTGAGAGTTAAAAAAAAAAAAAGTAACAGATAACAGAACATACACTTGGACACATAAATTAATTCTTGAAAGCTCCTAAGCTACTGGAAAACAACATAAGTAGTAACAAACCTAGTGAAAACACATAAATGAAGGATCATTTCATCAAGCTAACACATGTAAACAAAAGCTCACAGCTAATAATCTCATTATAATAGGAAAGGCACAAGAAGGGCGCTAGCACAGAATTGAATATTCAAGCCTCAACAAGTCAGCTTTTAAGCCATTTCATTCAGTAACAATCAAAAATAACAAAAAGCTTAACGGATATTCTGCTAAGTCAATTCAAACACACAATGAGCAGCCGACAAGAGAACCAACATCTCTCACTTATACACAAACATTCGAATCATGCCCACATGGAATAACTCAAATCTAAACCTCTACCGAGAATAAATGAATGAAAGAGGTGAAAGTCGTATACCTTTTGAGGAGCAGCGAACGGAGACGAGACGAACAAAAACGAACTTCCACGACTACAAAAACTCCAACGAGCTTCTGCCAAACCCAGCAACCCACGAACAAAAGAGAAAATATATACTAAGCCTATCTCTTTAACAACTCACTGAATTTTGTAGCTTCTTTCTTATACAAGTTGTGTTTCTTTTCTATCCCCTCTTTCGTTCTCTATTCTTCCCCAACCCTAAGAACGATGGGAGAAGAGGTTTATATAGAAGGAGATTAGGGCTGATTTAAGGGGGAGGAATGGGAGGGATCTTGAATAAATTCAAAATTCAAAATTCAAAACTTTCACAGAGATAAGGAATATGCTAGCATGAATTTCTATACGAAAATCATACAATTCCTCAACGGAACAACGATTTGAGGCGCTTGATTTCTTGAGAAGTACGATGAGGCAAGGCGATTATGACACCTAGAGATTATCGAAGCTTCCTCGCACAACTAGGCTGCTCCTGGGCCAAATTTTGTTGGACTGCGATTTGGATCGCGAGTTTTTGGGTTTCGGTTGGCTGTTGCTCGCCTGAAAGAAGAAGAAGAAGAAGAACGCGTAACTGGGGTCGGGCGGTGTATGTTGTTGGTAACGCTGTATGTATGGGTTTGCTGATTGTATTGGGATGGGTTTGAGTACCTGGGTTTTGGTGTTTGAGAAAAGGCTCAAATTTGATCTTAAATTGTGTTGAAGAGAATGTTAGATTTGGCTAAAATTGTAATAAAAATAATATTAAAGAGGTAACCAAAAGTATTAATTTTAAAAAATTTGGCTGGCATTCAAATAAGGCGAATTAATATAATTAATTTATGACCTTCTTAATCTTAACGAAATAAAATAGTTAACTAATTTATTCAAAATTATAATCATAACTTAAAATGACCTAATTTAATAAAATATTTCAGTAAAACAAAATCTTTTGAGACAATTCTTCGAATATTCTTAAAATATACTAATTATATACAAAATTATATAAAACATATTTATTATTTAAAATTATAAAATGACTAAAATTACTTTAAAATTATTTGAAAAATATTTGAATTTTTATAAAATTAATTATTCCAAATCGTTTGAAATTAAAGAAACACGAAAATTAATTCCTATCGTGGAGGGTCAAAATTGGGTGTCAACAAATATATTGCAGATTTTTTTATGAATGTTCAATGTGCAT